GTGAAATGGCCACCATTATTTATACTGGAGGTAGGATATTGTGAAACGTAGAGGAAGTTTCCAAACAGGACTCAAAGTTGCGAGACAGTAGGTAAGTTTGGCATCTAGGAGGAAAAGATTCAGACTATGACAATTGGCTGGAGAGGTAGCCTGTAGAGGATTCAATAAACTTGTCAGTATCTTCTACTACAACAGAATCATATAAAAGAAAATGGTTAAGTAATATAGAGTCACACTTGGTAAAGTTGCCATGATCAAGATCCAAATAGGATTGCAATAAAGGTAAGTGATTGTTATTGACCACAAAAGAATTACAAATAGGCAACTGGTCAGAAGTTTTAAAGCAGTTTTGTTGGCAGGTCTGTGACCAAGACCTTATCTTCCCTGTGGCCCAATCTATGTGCAGGTTATTAAGTTTAAGCCAAGGATTACCTAAGATAAGGGGGTAAGCATGAGATGGTATCAAGCAGAAGCTGATTGTCTCCCTATGAAATTCCCCAATGGTCAGAGTAATAGGTACAGTGCACAAGGTGACCAGGCCCATGGACAAAAGAGAGTTATCAACAGCAAAGACTGAAAAGGGTTTGTGCAAAAGGGAATCTGTAGGCGGCGTGCTAGGTCCCAATCAATGAAATTGCTAGCGGCACCAGAATCTATGAAAACTGAGAGGTGATGAGAGAACATGGCAGAACTAAGTTGCAAAGGAACAAATAATTTGTCTGGGGGGGGGGACCTGGCACATACGTCTAGAAAAGCAGACCCCACCCACACTAGACTCTTTGCTTTTCCTGGCTTATTGAGGCAGCTAGTGACAAAATGGCCAAGATCACCACAGTATAAGCAGAGTCCCTGGGATCTTCTTCTAGCCTTTTCCCCAGATTATTAATGAGTAGCACCAATTTGCATGGGCTCCTCCTACTGGAGAGGTTGCGAGGACCCAAGAAGGTCTGATGAAGAAGAAGAGGGCAGCGTATTAGGGGGCAGAGGAACAAATCTCTCAATACACCTTTCCCATAAACGCCTGTCTATACTGATGGCTACTTGCATGGCTTCATTCAACGAGTTTGGTTCAGGGTAGCATACTAAGGAGTCCATGAAGAAGTCTGATAAGCTTAATCTGAACTGACTTCCTGAGTCAGGCGCCTAGCAGTGGAAATCAGAACAGTATTGTTCAGTGGTGCATTTACCCTGACATAATGATCTAAGGTTAGTTTCTGCTGAGTGGGCACAGTCAGAATCATCATAGAGTAAACCCAAAGCCTTGAAAAATTCTTAGACTGACCCTCTGGCTGTGTCTTCTGTGGGGAGACTAAAAGCCCAAGACTGGGGGTCCCCCTGCAGTCATTAAATAATCAGGTTAATCTGTTGTACTTCAAATCCAGAAGAGCATGGTTTAAGCTTAAAGTACAGCATACAACTATCCTTAAAGTTAGAAAGCATATGGGGGTCACCATAAAAACGATCAGGCAGGTTAACCTTGGTCTCTGGCTCCTATGTTACTGCTGGAAGTGTGTTTACATGCACAGACAGTTCTTGGACTTGATGTGTCAGTTTGAAGAGTTCCTCTGCAAATAAACAAGTCTGTGTAGAGTCTTCACAGAAAAATCTTTACACATCTTCACAGAAAAATGTTCTTGTTAAAGGCTTGTGATAATGTCATGCTTACCCAAAACACAGGTGGTCAGGAACTGTAGCTGGCTTCTGTGTTCTTCACCTATACCCCTTTCCCATAAGGCAAGCAGGCCTACAGGTACTCGGTTGCCCCGGACAATTCTATAGTGCCTAGCTACCTTGCTGGGGCAGGCACAAACTGAGTACAGCAAACAGGTACTTTCACTTGGCAGACAGGCAAAGTGGTACACTGTTAGTCCAGGTGCAAGGCATGCAAGGTTCAGAGAATAGTCTATATCCAATACAAGTAGATACAAGATAAGACCACCAGCTTATTAATTTTCCTTACAGAGGTGATAACTACAAGAAATTCCACCTTGAGGGTCAGAGTAGAGATGAGAAAGTCTCTAATGGATTAAAAATGCCATTTATGATACAAAAAGAGAACCAGATTAGGTCTCTGAAACAAGAAAGAAATGGAAGAAACAATACCTTTGATAGTGCTGAGAATCAAATGCTGATTCAGATCTAGCCATTTTCCCACCCACCATTACTATATTTTATATTTTTCATTTGTTTGTACTCTTTACATAGTCATATATTTTTATAATGTTCATTTTTTTTCTTTTTTTTCCTAATAAGGGGGTCTCTGCCCTGGTCAAGCAAACGCAAGAAGGGACAATATGTCTATAGCAAAAACCCTTGCAAGCGATCATGACCATGGACTAAGAGATGTCAAGGATGTACCACTGGCTGTCCCAATATGGGCTTGATATACTAGCCTGCCCTGCTTTCCTTCTCCTGTCAGAAAAGGCCTATAGCACAGCTGGGGATATTTGTGACCGATAAGCTGAATTTTATTAAGCTACGGGGAGAGGTGAGTTTTTAAATTTTTTAAAGGATGCAGTGAGATTTATTGATGGTAAGTTTCCCTCCTTGCCTGTGTTAAAACCCAAGTACCCAATTGGTACTTTTTTCATTATATCCCACTCCATCATATCCCACTCCATCATGCTTGTACAGCACACTTTGATTTAGTCTTAGTTATAGTTCGTTATCCACTATGAACATGGAATCCCTTCTACATGCTGATTCTCTGTTCAAGGCACATTAAAATTTATATAGAACCATTAACAGCACAGTCACGGGGGCTACGGAAGTACAGGGAGAAATGGTCGTTGGATCTCCCCAGTTTAGATTAGATAATGATGTGGGATGATATTTGGGATTACCCATCTCAACAGATGGTCTCAGTTAGAGATAGGCTTTTCCAGTTTAAAATTGTAAATTGCATTTACCTCATGACTCTACATGTGTTAAATATTTCCAACTGACCACTCCACGGTATGTTGGAGGTGCCCCTGCATGAATGCTGATTTCATCCATATACTGTATATATTGAGACTATATCTAATATTTAGATCTTATGCTGGGTCTTGTGGAACCCCAGGCTCCCAGAAAAGCAACATTGCTTGGACTATTGCTTAATTATGCTAGAAAGGTCATCACTCTACTGTGAAAAATATCCTACCTCACCAACCCTTGAGAGATGGAAATAACTTATAAACTCAGTTCTTCACCAATATAAAGCTACCTACAATAGTAGGGGAAGTCCCACTAAATTTGACAACATTTTATTTCTGTGGCTGGAGAAATCTAGCCCCATGATCCTGGCCTTCGGTTGGGCTACTCAAGAGCTTCTGTTGATTATTGGTTGTGGGTTTATATTACTTATTAATATTTTGGGTAATCACCCATCCTATTTAATGGCCTTTTGGGTCTTGAAATTTAAATTTGCCTGGATTTCATCCTTTGAAATAGTGTTGGATAAGACATAGTTTTGACTCAATTTGTATTCTTTCAGCAGGGATCATGAGATTAATTTTTTGTGTACTCTCCTCTTAATTCAAGTTGATTCTTAATCATTATATTACTCCTACTGATGACAAAAACACGGTTTAACTATGTTTATGGAGTGGAGCACAAATAGTTTGTTTGATGTAAGTGAATGTGATCTGCAATTCTTCCTTGTTTTGTACTATATTCTAAAACTTTAATAAACAAAATTTATAAAACATAAAAAAGGATGCAGTAAGTTTCTGTGACAAAAAGACAGCTCTTGAATAAACTGTCAGCAATAGCTGCTTGATGCACTCTGGGCACGGAACTGCAAACACTAGAATATTTCTGCATAATTTCTTCATTTTGGTGAATTGCATTATGGTCAGTGGGGAAGGTGTAATTAAGGTAGTGTTTAAGGATTAGATGTGCATTATATGGCTTTTAATTGGGGTTACAGAGGCTGCTTTCAACTATCCTAGGCCTGTTCTTAGTCCGAAAGATAGACCAGCACTATAAAGTAAAAAAAAGTATAAAAAAAGAAAGCATCAGTTCTTGTAAATAAAGATCAAATACAATAAAATATATATAAATAACACTAAATGTTAGCTATCATAACTACCTCCCCAATCCTTATAAGAGCTGGTCATTTTTTTTCCCGAACAAATTTTATCTGAACAGAAATTATGAGTTACTGCTTCACCAACATCAGTCAGCTGATCCTCAACTGTGACAATGATATTATTAAATATTTAGACAGTTAAATTTATAGAAAGCTGATATCTTATCAATGTTCTTATTACTGTATTGAGCTTCTGTACATCCAGTGCAATATTCTTTTTTGCACAGTTGTTCATATCTTACATGTATGAAGGGAAGAATTACCTCTTCTTTTAGGGCCTTTATAACTTTTTATAATTCTCTTTTAAAAATAAAAACATACTAAGGTTTCAGATTTATTGTAATATTATAATTATCTATGACAATAGAGGGAAAAAAACGTATGCCATCAATGAGCTCAGTATTTTCAAGATATATGCTAGCATTGATTTTCAGTTTTCATGCATTAGGTAGTAAAAATATAAAATCCTAAATGGCATAGACTGAAGATCACATAAAATGTGAAAGTATTTTCTGAGAAACTACGTAAAGTTCTATTTTCTGCTTAGGCTTTGTTTAAAAAAGTACAACTCACATTGTAAGCATTTCTAAACAATAGTAACTAATACAGAAAGGTCTCACAAACAAAAAAGGACAAAAGTTCTATACATTGTTTTAAGTTGACAGAAAACAGACTTTGCAGAGATCATCATCACTAATTGTTTATAAAGACCCAACCATCTGCTGTGCAACATTAGTTAGACTGCAACAAGGCACACAGCAAAATGGTTAAGGTATGGTATTAGCAATGTTTTAATGCTATACTGTATTACAGAACTTTTAAAAAAAAACTACAGAAAATAATGTGTAATTAATTTTACACATAAATTAAATTTATGAATATATGAATTTATGAAAATATGAATTCACATGTACCTTGCTTTTTCTAGATCATCTTCTATGAGGACAGAAACTTCCAGGGACGCTCCTATGAATGTGACTCGGACTGTTCTGACTTGTCTTCATACTTTAGTCGTTGTAACTCCATCCGAGTGGAAAATGGAAACTGGATCCTGTATGAGTTCCCCAATTACAGAGGACACCAGTACTTCCTAAGGAGAGGGGAATATCCTGATTTCCAGCAATGGATGGGATACAATGATTCTATCAGATCCTGCCGCTTGACTCCACAGGTATGAATAATAATCACGTTTTTTTAGTAACAGTACTTCACAACTGTATGCTATATGCTATACCACTACCATACAGTGTCCTATAGATATGTTTAGTGTGAAGCCTCAGCTATTGCCCCACCCATATGCTCTCACAGAATTTAGCATAGTACCATATTTTTAAAGGAGTTCTAAGTCTGTTACTGGACATATAATCCCAGTAACAGACTTAGAACCCCTTTACAACTATGGATATCACCTCTCTATTTAACCCCTAAAAATATCAGGATTCTATAAATGTGCAGTAACTACTTGTAGGCATATATGGTGTTTTAATCCCTTCAATCTTGTTTTTCACTAGTGAAGGAGCAATGTAACTGCACATAACAACTGATTCTGTAGGTCTATTTACCACCATTCACCAGCATGGGGAATTTTATTTGTATCTTCACAAAATGTGACTTCCATATTCCAGTCTGTTCAATGACCGTGTCAAAGCATATATTACCAGCACACTTGGTAATATATGCATTGACTTGTGATGACACTGGTTCCGAGCTGATAGTTGCTACATCACCCACCTGCTTAAAGCCTTTAACAGTAATGGAAACATGCTTCTTGATCTGTTTAATGAACAGGGACATGTTTGTTAGCATCATAGTATGTTCATTTCAAATTACAACTACTACACTACAAATTATTACACTTTTTTTCTTATCTTTTTGATGCTTAAAGTTTTAATATACTGTATGTTAACTCCTTTACATAGATCTGATTTTTTGTAAAATTTAATTAAATTCCTCATCAATTCAATTTAATGTACTTTTTTTAAATAAAGCATCGTGGACCATTCACAATCAGAATCTATGAGAAAGAAGACTTTAGAGGTCATATGATGGAGTTCACTGAAGACTGTCCTCATGTCTATGAAAGATTTAATTACCATGACATCCATTCTGCCCATGTACAAAATGGATACTGGGTGTTCTATGAGGAGCCCAACTATAGAGGACATCAGTATTACCTACGACCTGGAGAGTACAGGAGATACACTGACTGGGGAGCTACTAACCCCAGAATTGGATCTTTCAGATGTGTCCAGCACAGTTATTAAAGATTATGTAGACATAATATGTATTTTCAGTACTTGCAATAAATTATTAATCCATATCTGTTTATTTAAATAATTTGCCTATTACATAAAATCAGTAAATAAAGGCAAGTATGTTGTTATAATTCAAATTATCAAATGCAGTTCTGTTTATTGTTATTATATCATTATATGGTTGATCTGCAGAAATGTCAGTGGCAGTAATACACACATACTTTTGGGATATTTGTGGAAGTTTGAGTGTAAAGGTCTCAGGTTTCAGTGGTTGTTGTCCATCATTTTACCCCTACACAGTGTATCTATGGTTCAAATCTAAAAGCATATCCTGTATTAATTTCCATATTGTATATTTCAATTATTTCTTGCCTACTCCTATTAATCTGAATGATCTTGAAGTTTGTAAACTTATTTTGTGAACATGTTCACTATGCCCTGTGAGTAGGAACTGCTGTATCATATATTTTATAAAGGAGCTCTATTGTATTCATCACCCACAATTTGTGTAGGGTGCTATAGTGAATTGGTGGATGGCACTATCATACAATCATAGGAAGCTATGGATCCTCACATGCACATATTGGTAAAGAAACAGGCTAATATTTCTTTCTGCTATTTTCACCTGGTGATCTGGCCACCAAATCTGTGGTTTTTCAGAAGCTCAGGGTCTTCAGCAGAATGTACCAGTTTACATGGATGAGACAGACCATTTAACACTGACAGGAGTGATTAAAATTATCATATTTTATTTATTCATGCAAAACCTTTATACCAAAAGGAAAAAAACTGCTGTAACTGTGAAGTGTGAGCTGGAGTTTGGCTTCAATTTGTTTACTATATTCAAGTCTATCCCTCTAGACTGATAAGTCTGCTCTCTGCTGTGTCCCCCATGCTCCTTTATCCAGAGTGCAGGCACTCTAATACAGGAGGTGTGTTACTAGCCAGATCACCAGAAAAACAGAAGGAAGAAAGTCATAGAAAAGAAAATTGATGCAGCCACCACATTTAGTGATTGATAAGCTGTAATATAATACATTTTTGGTTTGGGGTTTAATAACATTTTAAAGCAACCTGACTAGTAAAAATGTTTTTTTAAATAAAATGTTCCAGTATTTAACCCATTATTAACCCTTAGTTTTCTCTAGATAGAAATATCGAAAGCGAGCAAAGTCACAGCAGAAAAACACAAAGTGGTGCATCGAGTCTGCCCATTGTTTTTTGGTTTTGCTCTTTACCTACTTCAGTCCCCATGACATACTGGTACGTAGTGGGGGTTTAAGTGCAGCTTCAGGCATCATCACGGTATCTTTGTTTACAGCCGGCGATCACATGAGAAAATATATATTATAGTAAGACTTGTACTTTGATGATAATCCTGATATTGATTTCAAATCACTATGTAATCTTTCCATCATTTACATTTCTTTCAGACTTAAATCAGTATTCTATCCTGCACATGCCAAAGAAACCCTTTATGTTATGTATTCTGAACTCACTCAAATGTAAGATAAGCATAACACTGGTAATAAAATATAGTAATCTCAACAACAAGAGAAAGGCACTCAAAAATCTTATGAAAAATAATGATATCATTTTAAAAGGAGTAGACAAAGGAGGAGGTATTGTTATCCAAAATAGGACAGACTACATAAAAGAAGCCTCCTGATTTTTGTAATATTATTATTATACAGTATTTATATAGCGCTAAAAGGTTTGCTCAGCGCTGTACATTATAGTGGGGGACAGAACATAAGACAATACAGTAACAAAACAAAACACGAGGGGGTCAAGGGCCCTGCTCTTTTGAGCTTACAATCTACAGCCACATACAATGTAATATAACTTCCTGTTGACCCTCTACCTGAAAAGAAAAAAATAACTCAAACTACTTGTTAATAAAGCCCTTGAAGACAAAATTATTACAGAAAGGAATGGGTTTTTCTCTTCAAAGAACATTACCCTATATATCTATCAGCTGCCCATAATCCATAATAACTCAGATAACCCTCCTAGAAGACCCATTATTTTAAGCATAGACAATTCATTACATTAGTGCTTTCATGCATTTACTGGATATATTTTAACTTTAACGTACCACCTAACTCATTGTTCTAATCTTAATTTTAAAAAAGCACAATTAATTTTAGATTGCAGGAATTTCACACTTGAATACATCTGGGTTTTTTTCTGGATCAATTCTGTCTTCAGTTAGTTGAGCAAATCTTACGATGGGAAATTGGAAGACACATATCTAGTCCAACAATACTTTTGAAACCAAGATCATTTACAACAGCTATACAGGTGACGTCTTAATCCTATGGGACAGCCCTACAGAGTCCACATCTCCAATTGTACAATACTGTAATTATAATACAATCAGCCTTAACCTTCACATATCAATCATCCTACACGTATAGTTTTTCTTGATCTTGAGCTCACCCTTGACAATAGCACTATCATTTCCAGAAAGCACCTCAAACTCACAGGAGGCAAGTCATATCTACATTTTAAATGCTGCCATCATCCCAAGTGGAAATTCAATGTAAAATGCAATTCTGTAGGTTAAGAAAGAACTGTACATATAAGGCAGATTATAGTATACAAAGAAAAACTCTCAAGGGAAAATTTTCTGAAAAAGGAGATAAGGAAAAGGACTACCAGACTTATTTAGAGCCCGTGCCCAGAAATACTGTTAAAAGATGCAATGAGATCAACTATTATGCAACATTCATTATTCAATTCAGATTATCATTCTATCCAAAACATTATCAATACATAGTTAGATCCAGTTTTTCTACCCAGGCCAAACATTGTCTTCTTCAAGGCCTCGAATATCAGGAATAAATTTGTTCCCAGTAAAATACAAACTAATATGCAGAAAAGATTGCCATTTTTCCAATAAATTAGTAGATCCCTTCCACTGTAGGTGCAAATGCTTAACATGTAAATACATCAAACAGAGTGGTAACAATTTCTCTGATAACAATGTGAAACAGTATAAGATCAAAGAATTTAAATTGTCTTAGCAAATATGTTGTTTATTGTTTAACCTACCCATGTGGCCTTCAGTATATCAGCCGCAGCTATAGAACACTATTACCCATGTATTACAACATAGAAGACTAATTAAAAGTGGGAGACTTGACCACATTGTGCCCCATCATTTTGCTAAAAAGCATAACAAACCCATTAAAGAACTGTTTGCTATGTTATCTATCTATCCTCATTTTTTCTTATAGTCACCAAGAAACCTACTTGATGTACACATACAACTCTGATGAGTTCAAACAAAGATCTAGAAATAGGTACAAGCCTCAAACTTATGTTGTTAGACCAGTTTACATTTTCCACTCAATATGATCATAATTGTTATTTATTCTTAAAGTATATGAAAACCTTCAATATGCTAAAGCTCAATAAAATGTGTCCTCTAGATCCCAAGTAAAAAAAAAAAGGAAAATGATCGAACATCCAAACAAGACTTGGGGGAACCGTCGGTATAAACACAAGGCAAAAAGAAATGGTAATAAAAACCAAACTATGGCTCAACCTCAATGTGTCAAAAGATATATCCCTTGTATCCTTAAGATGACCAGTGTATATACCCAGTAGACCATTTCATATGTACAATTATGTAAAATGAAATAATCCTTTATTCAAATAATCTAGAGTATACAAAAACCTACTACCTAACCTATAAAACCAGAATTGGTCAATTATTAAAAAACCAACAACAGCTGCAGAAAATAATTCAATACGCTTCACCCCCAAACAATGACAAGGTATATATGGATAGAATATTGTTTAGGTTTAAATACTCCAGTCAGGGGCAATGTCCATTGAGTGGTACCCATTCCAGAACATTTTTCGGGGGATTAGAGTAAATTCCGGGCCTTCAAGAATGCCTGCAGCT